CGAGGAGCTGAAGTCCCTCTGCCTGCAGCGAGCGTGGGAATGAGCCATGGGAAGCCTGGGGAGGCCTGAGCTGGCCTCTCCCCTGCCCAGCATTACGCTATTGCAGCATCTTCTGGAGGGGGGTTTTCTAATTTCCATTTGTCAGCTCTAAAACGCCCTGTGTATTGTATATATGTGCATAAATCTGTCCTGCTGCACACCTGCATTTGCAGATGTTGCACATTCACGGTGCTGGCAGGCGGTGAGCTGAGAAGAGGGTTGCTGTTGGCTTTTGGGTTACTACAGGCAGGAGCTGGTGACCCTCGGCGAGGTGCACGGATTGCATCTGCCCATGCCACGTGCAGCAGCATTTCTTTTTCCCGGAGGGAATCGCAGAAAAACAAATAATGCGACTGAGGGAAAAGGTAGCTGCATGCACCTGGGGTATCAGCCCTGCCCAGAGGTATAAAAAAATAAAGAAGACAGAGGGTAATGAAGGGAGTAAAAGGACACCTAGCCTTCCTGTTTTACAAAGGAGTGGGCAAGCGAGACTAAATGATCTTGGCGTGATGTCTCATTTTCTTCAGAATCAGGGGTTAGCAGAGGTCTTCCCCTCGGAAAGGAAGAGGGCAAAGAAATGGATCTTTGTCTCTTTAAGATGAGATGAACTGCCACTCTTAGTCATATATCTTTACTGCACCCTAGGGTTATAAAAACATACATCTTCATTTTGAAAGTCTTTTATTACATCCATAAACATCAGATTGCAGCTGACTGTTCCCTGGATGAGAATGTCCTAGTACTCCAAGTGAGTTTTGACAGGGGGAGGGAGTGAAAGTAAGATTTTTTTTTTTTTTTACTGGGACTGTGTTTATAGGGAACTTGTCAGTCTCTGGCATGCTACAGCCACTGTCAGAGCTGAGCGGCACCGAAGTGAGAGGACACAGGTTTCTCTGCTTGTTCTCACTGTTGGACTCGGGTACCATCCCAGGTGCTGCATACGGTAAGCTTTCCTCCTGTCTTAAATAGGACACAGCATTTGCTTTGTTTCAGTGCTTGGGTTTTCAAATGGGTTTTGTGAGAAAACTGAAAAATGGGTCTCTGTGAAAAGAACTAATCTCTTCATTTGCTCTGCTAGCCACTCCGTTGGGAGTCGGATCGCAGCAAAAAAAAATAAAAGAGGGAATTAGATGTGAGACTTTCAGAGCACAGAATGCTTGCTCCAGTTTAGAGACACGGGGTAACAGCCAAATTGTTTTGACCAGAAAAGTGAATGCTCTTTACAAGTATTTCTGACATCTCTAATACCCGAGGAATTGCAAATCTTTTCAACAGGTGCAAGAGCTATTATTTAGAAATACGTTGTGAATGCTGGGTTGTATTACTGTCTGATGTGTTTTGCCTGGGTGATTCCACCCGTGAGGCATTGTGCTCCCTCAGGCAAGTGCAAGAAGTAGCTTCAGAAATGTCATTGGGGTATTTCTATGCAGGGTATAAATGGGTGTTCTGTAATCTGCAGCATGTATATGAGAGGATGCAACATTTCCGCTCCTTAAGCATGAGAAACCAAGAGTACATCCAAATTGCAGGCATGAGAACGACTGCAGCACAGTGCAGTTTAAATTAGCTGGTGGGCGAAAGTGGGAGCAATCGCAAGACAGCAGCTCGCAGCTCACAGCTCAGCAAAGGTGATTTATGCTTCCCCTGTCTGTGTGAATACAGTGTGGAAAGACTGAAAGATGGGAAAACATTGCTATCGTGCTTTTTCCTTCCTGAAGTGTAAAGTCCCTTGAAATCTAGGGTCTTGTTTTAAGGACTCGTTTGCTTTTCTCTGTGTTAGTGATTGCAATCCTGTGATAGTCTCGGGAAGGGGTTGGGGTTTCACCAGGCTGACTTTCCTGAGCCGGCTGAAGCACCTGAGCGCTGGAGTTGGCAGCGGGAGGTGGGGAGCTACCAGCGCCAGTGCTCCCAGTGTAGCCTCTGCCACAGCAGCTCAGGCAGCGATGGGATCCCTGCGGGATCCCCGTGGCAGCTCTGTCCAAGTTATGTTCCCAAGGGAAAAGGGGTTGGAAAACTTGTGCCCTGCTGTGTCCATCCCACAGGAATGGCAGACCTCATTCTGCAAGGACAGTCACTTTGGCATCTCATGTTTACCTGAAGGTTATGCACAGCAGTACAATCCTTGTGAATTTGCACCAAAAAATTGGTCTCCAGGATAATGCCCCAGTGTAAATCTGAAAGGCAAGCTGGGTTTTCTTGTCTACATAAGCTGTTGCGTTGTTTGTGGGCACTCTGGCACAGTGTGCTGATGGTGTAGAGGCAGTCTTTGTAAGCCAGACCTTTCAAAAGCGGATGGCAATTCTGGGTGTCGCACTCAAGAAATGCGAAAGGAATCTCCTTTCCAGAGAGTGCTGCCATAAAACAAGCCACCTCTCAGAGACCCAGCACCACCCAAAATCCTCTGAGAAACCTTGACTGTAATCTGCAGGCAGAGGAAGGCAGGTGAGACGAGCAGTCATTCCCAAACGCTGTCACTCTTCAAAGGACCAGAAGGACTTTTTGGCTAAATGCCTCATCATCAGAGCTGGAAGTATGGGGATGCCACTCTGCGGGGGCGGGGGGGGTTGAGGGTGTCTTCTTTCCTCTGTCATTTTCTGTTATGTCTCCCCCCTATTTTTTTCAGAGAAAGAAGAATTGTTCCAGAATTTATTGGGACAGATTGCCGAGCAGTTCTCAAGGTAAGAAGCTGAACATCATTATTAATTTAAAATGCTATTTCTTTTATCAGCCTGAAGTGAAATTTCCACAAGAGGCAGAGAGGCATTTAAGATCTCTTTCAAATCCCACTCTTCCTGCCAAATTTAGGCCTGGTACACACCTGATTTCCTCCTGACAGCAATACGGTATCTTAAACCAAAAGTGATTTTGGCAATTATCTTTGATCTAAAAAAGGAGATCAAGTATTGAATATAAATGTCCTTATTATGCTCCTGCCCTCTTAGGAAGCAAAAGAAATGCTTCTTTGCTGAACAGTCAAATAATCTGATTTGTGTCATTTTTCCCTTTATCACCCAAACATGTCTCTCCTCCAACAGGATTTCTGAACATCTGTACAGCAGTCTAATTTATTCCAGCTGTTTTCAATAAGACAGATCAATCCCACCACAGCTCAGCAAATCACCAGCATAACTCAAAAGGAGGAGGGCTTCAGAGTGTGCAAACACCAAGATGCTGCTGTTAGGCGAAGCATTATCAATTTAACTTTGCTTCCCTAGGGGGTACAATAACAAGTCACTGCGGAGAGAGGGGGTGATGAAGTGTTGCAGAGCCACAGTACATTCCCAGAGCCATAGCAAAATCATATGTTGCTAATTTTTCTGAAAATTAAACTCAGGTGTATTTTCTGCCCAAATCTTAGCACTTCGATGGAAAATTTTCTTTTCCTTATGGCAACTGCCATTGGACTGATCAGTCCTCTGAAAAAGGTAGACATTTCTAGCAAAAGTCCTTTGCACCTAGGGTAGGTACGGCACTAAATGTATAACATTAATACATGAGGGTTTTCTTTTCAGGGTTTTTAAAATCAGTGAGCTGAAAACGGAAGTAGCTAATCACTTGGCAATGCTGGAGAAAAAGGTTGAATGTGAGTGTCCCTTTATTCGTATCGCAGTGGGAACCGATGCCTCAGAAGCCCTCCACCTCCCTGCCCCTGTTGTACCCCCACTGCATCCCCCTCCTCACAGCCCCCCTGCTTTCTCCAGTCGCTCATAGTTTGGGCAGCCTTGAGCCCCAAAGGCCGCAGGCCAGCCCGGGGTGAGACGCGGGGAAGGCGGGAGCCCGCGGTGGCACCGGCTGGCCGGGCGAGGCCGGGGAGGGACGCCTGGCTTCGCAGGCATCTGGAGCGCCCCGGTGGGCTCCCCTTTGAGGGGCTAAGCCCCCTGACCTGCCCTCCCACGTCCCCTCGTGCCCCGTCCCCGTCCCCCCGTCACCTTCCCTGCACACAGCAGTGCCCCCCATGCCTCTGCACGGGCACTCCCTGCAAAACACCCCCCCCACAACGCACCTGAGCTCGCTGCTGCATTTTGTAATTAATTAAAGGAGGGTACCGCAGCTGCCTTCCTTCTACTTTAAGTCGGATATTTGCACAGATCAAACGTGTTGTCTTGCAGAGAGAATTTCTCCTGTCAGAAATGCATTTACTGTGTATTAAGCAGTCGGGTCGCTCCTCACTGCTGACCGAGGCCCAGCGCCAGCACTAGCACCTGACTACATTTCTGCTAAGTGTCATGTCGCGCACCTCCCTCTGCCGGGAAAGGGCCCAAAATGGGGCGAGGTCTTTCCCCGCAGCATGTTTGTGCACTACACCTGCAGCACAGATACAGCGCGAACACCGTAGCGCCCATAAACAGGCGGCGTAGCATGTGCTGAAATACAGCCAGAGGGTACTGCCTGTCTCGCGAGGCAGTAATTTCTGGGCTGCAAACATGGGGGTTCACCCCTTGCTGGCCATATTGCCTGGCAGACTACCAGGCAGCATCAATTTCCTCGCTTGTTCAGTGTGGTAACAGTAACACAACTGCATTTAGTTACTCTGCAATAGCCAAGTTAACTTCATCTGGTCAAAGAGCTCCTTTTCTGGTTTCTTGGCTTTTGTATTTTTTCCCCCATGCAGCATCTGACTTGCTGTTTTTCAGTACATTATGTAGAACACAGACCCCAGAAAGGCAGAGAAGGAGTATGTGCTGTCGCACAGCACCATTTTGACACCAAAGGCTGATACGCAGCATTTAAGCCAGGAGCGGGCAGAGTCTTCCCCAGCATCACAGCTGCAGCAAGCACTTTCTCATTAGAGCTGACTGGAAAAAAAAAGTTTCTGGTTCATGGAAGAAGTTGTTTTCTTGACATTTCCCCTGACCAGAAGCTACCTTGACCCTGCAGCTGCTCAGTGAGACTGATGCCTTTGTCAGCAGGGAGAGGAAAAAATGTCCTTATTCAAAGAGCAGCTGCAGGGGAACCTCTCCCAGAGGCGACCCCAGCTGCAGGCTCCTGGTGGGGTGGGAGTCCTCTGGTGACGTTCATGGAGGGGTGCACCCTGCGGCGTGCCTACCCCCGGCACAGACCTCCGCGAGACGCCCGAGTAGCAATCCCTCCCAGTCTGCTTGGCTACAGTTCACCCGAGGCTCCACTGATTTATTCTTTTGTCCAAAAGAAAAAAAAGAAAGGGGAAAAAAAAGGAAAAATTAGCTCAGTCGCTCTGCATTTTCTGTGAAACTTCTGACCAACTCCAGTCCTCAGGGCTAAGCGGCACGGACTAGAGCAAATAAGGCAAGCATTCCTGTGGGTCTGCCTATCCCCTTGGTAGCCCAGGCGAGCAACTACCCCAGCCAGCTAGGGGCTGCTTTCAGCCACTGGCTCTCCCCGATGGCCCCCTAGGACTCCCGGCTGCACCCTGCACACATGCTGCCTTTCCGCACGGGCAGCCCGCGGCAGTGGAGGGAGATAACAAAGATTTCCACGCCGCTGCCGGCAGGGAAGAGTTGTGCATTTGCATTCTCTGGCACTTTATTGCCGGTTTAGGGAAGGCAGCATACCCAGAGCTGCCGTGCCGTGCAGGTGAACTGAATTCACTGGTCCCCAGATGAGGCTTCTTTCTGTAAGTGGGTCTTGCTGATGATGGAAATAGCAGCAGACATAGCAATCTGCTGCCATTCTGCCTGAGCGCTCGCGATCCCATCTCCAGCAGCCTCAGCCTGTGGGAAGGAGCTCCCCGGGTTGCCTGTCTACAAGTGCACCCATCTGCTTGAAATTGGACTTCCAGAATTTGCAACAGAGCCAAATCCACATCATTTTGAAATAATCCCAGGCTTTCGTGTTTAAAAAACAAAACTGTGAGGGGATGGGAGCATCCAACCTCCCTACTCGAGCTGGGCTCCCAGAGGTTGCTTTAAGAGCCATGTTTCAGTGCTGGATTCAGCCCAAGGATTTCTTCAGACAGCACAGGGTCTTTATAGAAGGTATTTCTTGCTGCAGACTAATATAATGGGCCCCTAATCAGTGCACATGACAAGGCCATTTACCATTTGTGAGCCAAATGTGAAAAGAATTGTGCTTTTGTTTTGCTTTTTCTCCTACCTCCTTCGGAGATCCCTTTTCCACCACTTTCACATGTGATCTCCAGGATTTCTTCCCCAGAGGGGATGTGTGTGTGGGCATAAGTGCTCATGACAGCGCTACATCTGCACCTCACATAAAATGTTCTCAGCATCCTTCGCGCTACTATCTAGAGACCACGTCACAGAGATGTGTTTTCAAGGAGCCAAATCTTTTAACTGATTTTTAAATCCCATCTAAAGCTTGTGACTTCCCCTTGGAAAATGCATCCACGCAGGGCAAGCGCTGGGCATGCTTTGTCCTGGGGCTTGACTTACTCTGCTCCAGTGTTCGCGCAGCGGCCCACACATGAATAAGGGAGCTGGCAAAAACCCTTTACAATCTGTAAGCGTCTCACATCTACCTTAAGAAAATAATTATGTAAATTCTCTGCTCCCCTGGAGAGGTTTTGGAAGAAAACTAAAGAGACGCAATACGAAAAAATGCTCAGGGCTGCCATTTTGCACCGTAACTCCTCTTCTCTCTGCAGTTGCCTGCCCCACTACCCTGCTGGTCTGATAACTCCGCTTTGCTCCTACTGCTTCAAATAGGCACTGGCCACCATTTAGACAGCTTGGCAAATGGGCTACCCATGAACTTCTCCTAAATGAATGCACCAAGGTGGTACATAGCAGCGCAGGGCCTGCAGCTCAGCTGCAGCTGATCATCGGCAGTTGAACTGAGTACCCAAAAAAATGCAGCCAGGTATCCAGAATGAAGATATCGAATAAGCAGGACAGCATCTTGCCTGTATCATCCCATTGTGATCACCCAAAGAAACTGATTGTAACAATGCTAGACAAAAAACCATTGATCTGGAAATGGGATTTTTAAGTGGAGGGTATCCCTGTAATCAAGCATAAATCAAAACCCTTTCCCTTTCCTCTCCTAATATGTGGCATTTTGGACTTGGTTCATACAGCTCTCTGTTTTTCCCCTTTCCCAGTTCCAACGGCAATCTTTGTTCTTACTAGCATAAAGAAAACAAAACTGAGGTCTCTGCTTATCTATGGAGTTGTGCCCTTCCAAGGCAGTTTTTTATCACTTACACGCTACCCTCCAGATAAGTGTGATCTTGACTATTATTTTCTAAGAAAGTGACCGAATACTGATTGTATGAATTGCACATTCCCCTGAGTTCCCCGAACCACAGCTTGTCCATGCAAACAATGAGTTCAGTAAACAAATGAGCTGTGAAGTGATTGCACATGAATGACATGTACTTAATAAATGGTGCTGCGTTATGTCCTTGAGCACGCTGATAGCTCAACAAGAGGGAAAGAAAAGGGAGACTATTTTCATTCTCACACCGCGTTAGGTTCTCACGGCTACATAGAATGAAGTGCATTGCTGCATAAACAGGCAATCAAACTTTTTGCCTTGTGGCTCTCATAATTACATACAGAAGGGGAATATAGGTTTTTTTGTGCCACATGCAGAAATAACCTTTGATTACAAAATTGATTGGCAAAAAGTGACAGATCTTCAATACCTAAAAAAAACCCAAACAACTCAATCGTTAGAGCAAAACTTTTCAACATTTCTCTCTCTCTCCTGCATTCTCACTTTGGTTTCTCTGTATCTAGCAATGCCTCTCAGAGCTCCTTAACGCTCTGCGTGAACTTTCAAATTAAAATCTTTTATCCTAATGGGAATTCTGATCCTACCAGGACATGTTTGCCTAGCTGCGCTTATCATCCCATCACAGGAGGGTATTTTTTGCTCAGGATTTCCTTTGATTCGTGTTCTACAGCAGAGCAGTGAAGGCACCAGAACAGCTGACTGCTGCTAACAATCGTGGAAAAGCTGAGACGTTATAGCCGTTTTGTGAATTAAAATACTGTGGCTATTATCTAAAATTGGCAGCAGAGAATTCCTACGGGTTTTGAAGATATATCGCTTTGGCAGCACCTGCCTATGTGAGAACCGGGGCAGACTGTAAGCGCTTGCTGGCTCACTGGATAACCCCACTGTTAAAGCCCTTTGAAATTTTGCACAATTGGGAAACGAGATCCTTCGACTTTCTCCATGGTAACACCCCTGTTGTTTTCTTTTGTTGACAGTGGAAGGCCTGAAAGTAGTGGAGATTGAGAAATGCAAGAGCGACATTAAAAAGATGAGGGAGGAAATGGCAGCAAGAAGCAGCAGGTAAGTTCTGCTTTGGACCTAACCAAAGAAATAAGCATCTGGTTTCAAACCCTAATGCAACGTTTCCGCAGAACTGAGTTACCTTCTGGGCTTAGAAGTAGAGGAGCAAGGAAACCGATAACCATTAAGTGGCTTTAATTTAACATTTGAAGATCTATAGCCACTCATCTGTTAAAATAGCTCAGGCTGCGGGAATAGAGAAAAAGGTCTTGCAATGCAGAGTTATTTTTCACCATACAGAATGGGAATTCTTCATCCAGATTTACTAGGAGAGAGGGAGAGGGAAAAGAACTTCTGTAAAGTGCGGTGTTTGGTAGGGAACCAGCTAACACTCGAATCAGCTCCAATATATTCTGGGAAAATGTCAAATAAATATGTAGGAGCTCTTCTAATTATGATCTCACGCTATTATAAAACACCCATTTCAATTTCAACAAGAAATTGGGAATTTACTTTCTAATTCAAGGGCTCACTGTGATTGTGAAGTTTGGTTTCACTGTAATTACAAGTACAGCAGAAAATTGCATTTTGTACGGTACGCAGTCTCAGCTGGAAAGTTTGCCCCCTGTGTCACTGAAATACCCCATTAGGACAAACAAATCATCACTGTGAGATTATGAGCACTTCTGGGAAGGTTGCTGAAAAGGGATATACTGTGTTGCTCAAAGTGTGGGTGAAGGGGATTTTTCTCAGCAAATGTAACAATACTATCTTGACAGCCTCTCTCTTTTTCTTCATTTGAGGTTAAATTCTCTGACCCTTAATCAAAGCTATTTCCTATTGAAGGCAATGGGGGATTTGCTAAAAAAATTAGGCTTTATAGTCACTCGCTTTCATAAATTTTGCTATCCAGATATGTCAGGAGGCACAGTGTTAATACATTCCTATTAAGTCTAAGGCCAAATTCACCTGTCATACTAGCATAAATGCAGAGTAACATTATTAACTTCAGATCTGCTCCAGATTTATACCAGTAGGATGAATTGCAGTTTGCCCTGGGGCTTGCATCATTTCTTGTTCAGGTGTGAGGAATTCTCATTAGAAAAATCAGAGCTCAGATTGGCAGCACACGCAAAAACACATATGCTGATTTGCGCCAGGTGTGACGTGAATAACGTGTGTGCCCGTGCATGTGTCTTTACTTTTCCTCGACTGTTGTGGGGAGCTGGGAGAGCTGCATTTATGAGTGCAGTGACGCATAGGCAGATAGAGAATTAAAACCAAAAAAAGAAGTTATGGCAACTTCAAGTTCACCCCGTTGCCGTCACACACATCAGGAAGTACGAGACTGTCCCAGCAGCAGCCGTGACTCATTCCCATCCCAGACCTTGTCAACTTACAATCTATATTTTGTCGTATAAACAGCAATCTGTTAACAAGAAAAACAGGAATGGGGCGTGCTGCATCTGCCCAGTGCAGCCAGCTCCAGCTGAGGTGGAGTCTTTGCCGAAGGCTTCAGGTGGGATATTACGGCCACCAAAAGCCAGAGACCAGCATGGAGTGTGATGCTGGAAAGCTGTGGCAAAAATGGGTTCGGTGCTCGGCAGCAGGTAGTGCTGGGCACAGACATCCAAGCTAGCTTGCTCTGAGCTTGCACTGCATAGCTGCTTTAGCTGAAGCAGGAGCCTAACTCAGTGTGCTCGACATCACTTTGTGCTGTATCGATGTGACAGCTACCTGTCACAGTTCTTCTTGGTTGCCTTGAGCTGGGTCTTCCTCCTGGCTGCACAAAAGCTCCTCCTTGCACAAAATTCTGTCCATGATTATCTGTACCCTAAGGGTTTGGGTCTCAAAGCAGCAGCTAGATGTGGCTGGGTTCAGCATATAACCAGCGTATAACTCTTTTTGCTATAAGTGAGGAGACGATGCTCCTTGGTGGCTGGCCATTAAGAGGGACCCCATCAGGAGCTGCTGAGGAATGAGCTGGGCTTCCCTATTCCTGAGCAACCACGGCTCTGCAGGAGCCGTGCCACTAGCCCACGGCAACCCCAGCCTGGGGGTGCTTCACTCCAGAGAGGGTGAGCAAGCTCTCTCCCATTGGCATGAGATAAGTGCATGCTGGGGATGGGGACAGAGGCACCCCAGGGCAAATGGAAATGGGTTTGCTCCTATTTAGACTTGTCATCCCTTGCGCAATGTCATTTGCTAGATAATGCATTACAGTTGCAATTACAGCTCACATCTAAATTTAATTATATAAGTATGTGTGAGTGTGTATATTCCTTCAATAATATCACAGTGTACACAGCTGTATTCTTGTATGTTTACATATTCTTACTTTTGCTGTTACATTACCAAATGACAGAGTAAGGATGAACAGCTAAGTTTGTAACAGTAATCACGCACAGTGAATTTTGCGTCTCTCCCCATCAGAAGAGCAAAGCAGCCCCACTCGCATCCCCTCAAATTGCTTTTTTTGCTAGTCTGTTTTTTGTGTTCACCACTGGCAGATGCTAATAACATTATAGTGTCATTTAAAATCATGATCATTTGCAGACACAGTTTTACATTTGCAAAGGTCTGATGCATCCTGGCTCCAGCGCGTTCCCCAGTGTGGTAGGATGAAGGCTTCGATGTCTTACTACAGCTGGGAATTACAGATAGTTGGCTGACCCTCAGCTAACCCTGGCAGCCGGTTCCAATTAGGGCAAGGAATGCCCCAATCTCACTATTTTTATCCTACTAATACCCCTCACAGTGGGTTTTTTTTTTTTTAGCTGTTTTTGAGCTGTTTTGAGGAAACAGCTTTAGAAACAATTACGACAGCTTGTCACCAGCTGAGAATCCCCTTAAGCAGGGTGGGAAAAGGCAGATGGTTGAAGCCAGCTGACCACCATGAACCATAAGATGACATAACTTTCTCAGGATTCAGACACCACCATCAGAAATGATAGCAGACATCAATGTTAAGAGGAGAAAATAAAAAAGACCAGGACCGATTCCCAACAGAAAAGAGAAGCACTAAAAAGAGACACAGTACAGAATATGTGAAATAATTTTAAAAGGGACAAATGAAGTTAATGGAATACTTTGGTTGGCTTCTTTGAGGGGTTTCTTTTAGCTTCATTTGGCAGGAGGCTTTAAAAATGAGAAAGGATAATCCAAATGTTAGGACTACAGGGATAAATGCAAAATGCAAGCAAATCAACATCACTTGAGAGTTATTAAACTCCATGTGACCAGCTACCTGGGAAACACGTATTGAATTAAAGTATCACGATTGCCATGGGTGATACCACTGAGCTCTTAGTTTTATTGTGCCCCCTGTGGCTGTAAGGCAAGAAACCGCT